ATCCGGGTTTGGTTAAAAAAGGGGGACCCCCACCCCCCCACACCTCCCAGAAGGAAAGGGTGGTGCGATGCTGATGGGCTCTTGTTCCCGCAGGGAGCCTGGCTTCTCCCTCCTTCCTTGGGAGCACCTCAGGCGCCTTGGGTGGCTGCGGAGGGAGGTGCTGTGGGGCCAACTGGCTGTCCCGGGGGTCAGGGAGCGGACCCTGCGGAAGCAGGCGGCTCTCTTGGCTGTAGGACTGCAGAACGGCTTATGCCTGGCTGGTCTCTGTTTTCCTGGGGTTATAACCTGTTGATTCTTGCAGAACCCAAGCATCTCGGAGGAGCCTGTCAGTGTGAAGATGTCCCTGTGTGGCTCGGGCACAGTGCTGGGGGTAGCTGCCTGCTGCTCGATAACCTCCTGTCCCCAGTCAGGGTCAGAGAAACTCATGAGCAGGTTGCCTGGCTGGCTTGAAACCTGGTGGTGGCCAGAGCTCAGCATCTTTGCTGCACAGCTTGTGAGACTTCATGGGGAAAAGCCCCATCTTCTTTCCCCCAGCATCAGCTTTTGTCCCCTTGGCATCTGCAGGGTGCTAGTGTGGCTGATTTGGGGCTTGCTGCCTTCAGTTTGGTACTGGGAGATGAACCCAGTCAGCAGGGGTGAGGTGACAGGAAACGTCTGATGTCCTGTACTCACACCGACACCAACCAACACTGTGGTGACCTCCTTTGCTTTCTGCCAGCACAGCTGGCTGTAGGAGGGTCTAGGAAGGTTTGGCGGTACTTCTCTGGCAAACCAGGTCACTGTGTCGCTGCACAGATTCCCTGCTGAGGGTGGGCGTGTGAATGGCTTCAATGCCTTTTCTTCTTTCTAATGGTCTCCTGTGCATGAATCCGTGGTTGCTGAAGGCTGTTGGCATTAACTCATGCCAGCTTTGGCTACCTGCTCCAGTGTCTGTTCCAGACAGTGACCAGCAGTCAAGAGGGGAGGTAAAACACTGGCTGGTGCTTTCCCAGGCTGATTCCCTCCCCAGCCAGCCACTTGCCTCAGGTTCTTGGGTTCAGCATGTGCACAACAACAGCTCTGCTAGAGGGGCCACAGAAGCCGGTTCCTCCAGCAGCCGGGTTGCTTGAATGCTGCAAGTACTCGGGTTATTTCCTAAGCTCTGTGAGCTGAGACTGGTCACGTCATCACTGACCTCTGCCTGCCTCACCCAGGCGTTTTGCAGCCTGCTGGCAGGGCAGGAGGAGTTGGTGTCTCTGGCAGAAAGTTCTCCAGGAACCTTCTCCTATCTGCAGGTTCCTAGCCCTGATGTTTTTGCTGGACTGGGCGCAGCTCTTGCCCTCCCTCGAGCAGAAGGCCACAGCCGTGAGCAGCAGTTCCTGCTGCTGGGAACAGAGCTGGCCTGGCCAAGCTTCTCGTGCCACCAGCACAAAGCTGGAGCTGTCTCTGCCCCACTTCTGATGCAGCTCCTGACCTGATGCTGCCCTGGCGTCCTTGAGCTGCTTTCTGCGAGTGACTTAGCAGCAGGGACCAAGGCAGATGTTGAGAGATGTGGGTAGATTCTGCCCCACATGAGCTTGTGAGGATGAAACTCTCACGCTGGTCTGGGCAAAACAGAGCAGCGGAGTCGTACGCCTTGAAAATTAACACAGGAAAGCGTGACCCTGGCCTTGCAAGAGAAAGACGCTGGGACCTCTGGCCAGCACGGATGGTGATGGCCTCGAACTTCTCAGGACCTTTCTTCATTGAAGAACTGGAAGGTGTAGCAGGTGGCTCGTTGTTTTGTGGCAGAGGCAGCCTCCCAGAACGGACGAGTGCCAACTGTTGTGGGCTTTCATGCAAATAAAGCGTCCCTTTGCCGAAACTGGCGTCTGTTAAGCTAAAGCAGCTTATCAGGTGCTTAGAGTTGTTGTTGAAGCAACTGTCATAACTAATACTTGGCTGTTCTGTGCAATCCCATGGCTTTGTTTGCCTCTCTGCCCTTGAGCGTTAGCAAAACACTTTCTGCGAAGCAGGGGAGTTGGGCTGGTGGTGCAGATCCACCCGGCTGCCGGCGTTCAGGTGGCTTGACAGCGCTTAGCAAAGCAGCAATTGGGTCAGACACAAATATAACCAGGGCTGGGCCTCTTCTCTCTCTCTGTGTGATCCCATTTCTAGGGATGCCCTCAAGTGCCAGCTCGTCTGACCCATGGTCTGCTCTGCTGGGGTGGGCATCAGGCTCGCACTGGGGGACCCACAGAGCTTCTGCCCGCATGGGTGGTGGTCGGGGTGCGCTGATCAGGCCTCTGAGATGGTGGGTGTTGTGTCATGGGCTGACCTAAAAGAGGCAGTGGCTCTTCTGTAGTAGCAGATGGAGAAGTAGGAACAGGGTGTGGTACTTTCAGACTCTCAGAAATTAAATTTAAAGGAAACTGAGAACCACGTCACGGTAGAAAAGTGGGTAGTCTCCCAGCTCTCCAATGCAGGAAAAGACTTATTAGGGAGACTTCAGAGCCCACCTTACCATGTCCATGTAGAGTGGGGGTTTGAAGAGCTCCTGCAGAAGCAAAGGATCTGAATGAGACCTGCTATAAATGTCCCTGATGCAGGTCACTGATGTTGGCATTCTTGGTGTCTCCGCTGCTGGCTGGAGGAGGTTGCTGTGGTGGGTGACCTCTTTTGTTGGCTTGGCCGCCAGCTGGATGTCTGTCTGGTGAACCCTGTGGGGGTCTGGGTGTGATGTTTAGCATGGCGCTCTCTGCTCCTCACTCTCCATCACTAGCAAATGTAGCTTCTACCTGCAACTATTCTGATCCAAACTGGGAGTGGTCCTAGCTTTCCCCTCCAGGAAAACATCCCAAAATACAGGAGGACTGCTGATCTTTTATGTACCCAAAGACTTGGGAGGAGCTGCATTAGCACCTCTTTACTCCTTCAGGAGCAGTGGGAACCAGTGATGTTTCCTTGCTTAAGAAAGTGCCAAGGAGCCCATTGGAGTTGCTCCTGATAGTGCTCCATTTACTGGCTGTCAAAGACCCATTCTGTTCTCTGCTGAGACGTTAAAGAATAGCAATTTCTGTCCGAACCTTGCTTGGAATAACTCGTGCTTCCTTGTCTGCCTGCAAAACAGGGGGGTAGGATTCGTGAGGCCAGTGTCCATAGCACTTGCCACGAGCAGGTTTGTGGAAATACCTCTGTGTTCTGGCATGGTGGACTGGTTGGTGCACCAGCTCAGGTGAGCTTTCACCTTGTCCCCAGGCCTTGTTCCCAGTAGCCAGGATGGTCCCCCCTAAGCAAAGCTGCGTGCCCAAGGGGCTGTTTGCTGTGGCAGGATCAGGTGTGTGGCAGGTCCCGGCCCTGGGGCTGGCTTGTCCTGGCTGAGCTGTATGTGGGGAGCACGAGCTTTGGGTGGCAAAGCATGGTGTGCAAGACTCTGCCAGCATCACTTGGCAAAACAGAGCCATGCCTGGGTTCTGGCCAGCTGTGACAGCCTTGTCCCCGCTGCAGGAGGTGTTGTAGGAGGGGAACGGTGCAGCTCTGTGAAGGTGACTCTTGGCACTGTAGGGGCAGCAGAGTCTGTGAGCTCCTCTGGCACCACTCGGAAGTGGAAGTGAGCTGCTGCCTTAAAACACGGCGCGGCTGCCTTCGTGTGGGCCCTCGCCAGCCCTCTGGGCAAGCGCAGCTCAGCTCGTAGTGGTTGAACTGCTAGCACAAGTTAAGCTACTGACTAGGCTCCCGTGGTCTCTGACGTCTTGCCTTTGGGCAAGCAAATGGCTGTGGGTCTCTGCCACCAGCGGTGAGAGCTTGGCTTTCCCAAGGGATCTCGTGTCGGCAGCAGTCAGCTGCCAGCGCTGCGGTTAAGCGCAGGAGGCTCCGTGGTGCTGCCCACCTGCCTTGATGTGATGCTAGTGCTGGTGTGCACGTCGCTACCTGGAAATGGTGTGGCTGAGCATGGTGTTACAGGTATTGTGAGGAGGAATAACTACGTGTAGTCGACTGCCTACTGCTTCTGACACCTGTGACGCTTGACCTGTGGGCTGGCATGTCCCAGTCTGCTCCCATTCTGCTAAAAATTGGGGTCAAAACTGGCTCTGAAGTTTTGCATGACGCTCAGTATCCTTAACAGCTCAGATGCCTCAGTACAGCCTCGTTGGCTGAGTTCATAACACTCAAGGAGGGGGTGGAAGGGAAGCAGTCTGCGTCCTCCAGCCACTCTGCTCCCACAGTAGTGACCGTGTGTGGCAGCAGCTAGGAAGGTGAACTGGTTGGTCCTCCAGCCTCCATTCCTCCCTGTAAATGACCTCTTCTTTATGTGCTTTTAATTTTCTTACAGAGCAAGCCCACGGCGCTGAAAAGGGAGCCCCTTCTCCCTGTGAGCAGCACCTCCAAAGAGAATGGGGTTCGTGTAGAGCAAGATGATCAAGACTTATTTGCAGGTGAGTCTGTGTCTACTGGGTGTTTGCTGGGACTTTCTGAACTCCTAAGCCTGGAGTCATCTGCTTTTAAACATGATATGCAGGTCCTGGATATTTCTGGACTATCACAGGACCTTATCTCAAACTTGCGTTCGAGTCTGCTCTGGTGTTTTTGGGAAGGTCGGAGTAGCCTCCTCCAGGTCTCCAGCATAATCATGCGGCAGGATGAAATGTTTTGGAAGCTGAAGAGGATTAAAATGGGGATTGCTTTAGTTTTGTTGCCTTAAACTGTAAAGTGGTGAGTGTCTTGTCAGGGCTAAGACTTGTTTTCTACTTTCTCCTCCCTCCATGCAGGTAGAGGAAGCATCTCTAGTAGTGAAGTGGCTGTTCCCAAGGAACAGGAAACATAACACCCCTCAGCAGGGGAAAATGAGGAGAGTCAGACCTTCTCCAGCCCTGTTGCGATGGGAGACCTCTGGCAGAGGTGTCAGAGAATCAGTTCTGGAGACACCTGCTAACAGATGGAAGCTTTTACTTCCTCTGGGTGGAGAAGTGCATTGGGAAGGAGCCTAACTTCCAGGCTGGCCTACATGCTGTGTAAAATCCAGCTGAGCTTCAGCTGTTCTAGTGTGCGTCCCCTCTAGCGCACAGCGAGGAGGTGATGCCTGGCTCCTTCTAGAATAAGAAGTTTGTTGGATTAAGTTAATGTTCTCCAGCAGGACTGATCAAATGCTCTTACTGCAGTGAAGATGCATTCAGTTGTGCTATTCCCAATGCTTACAGGTGTCCTCCCTATGTATTTTTGGGTTTTTTTGCTAAATTAAACTTTTGTTACTCCTTAGATGACATGAACCTCTTGGAGAATATTGAAATCACCTTCCCAGAAACTCAGAGTAGAGAGGCTGACCCTTGCAAACTTCTCTTGACAGATGCCACTGTAGAGTTGTCTCTAGACAGCACGCAAAACAACCAGAAGAAGGAACTGGCCAAAGCATCCAATCCTGCCTCCTCATTAGAAGTAGCTGCAAGCTCTTCTAGAAACCCTCCAAAGAGCTATGAGGAGGTGAGAATTGCTCTGAGCTTTCCAACTTGCCCTGCTGGTTTCAGACTCTAATTGGCAGGAACATGTCTGTTTACTTAGTTGTAAACATGCATCTTAAATGATGCAATTAATGTAATTGTCATATTGGATGACCTGGTTTGTATCACAGTGCATCAGTCTGGGACTGATACCACTGAAGTGGGGTTCAGGTCAGCCTGATGGCATTCTTGTGTGTGTGGTGGTGCAGACTGTTTCCAAAGCTGGAAGAGCGAGCGGCTGATCTGGTCCCGAGCTCTGACTCTGGTCTCTGGCACACTGTATTGCCACAGTTGGGGCAGGTGGTATAGCTGCCCTTGTCTGTCTTTAAAAGAAACAGGCTCCTGGGTGACATGAGAGCGCAGGGTCCTTAGGAGGAACTTGTAGTCTGGTTGCCAAGCCCAGATAAGTAGGTGTTATTTTGCCTAAATCTGGGGTTTCTCCTGTAGCGAGACTGAAACTATTTTGTCAACAAGGAAAGTGCTTGTTTTCTGCCCCAAGCACCTGAGCTCATGAAGAAAGGACTCAGCAGTGTTGTCCGTAGTGCCTCAGGCTGACTTTGATTGGCTCAAGTGAAGCAACAGTGCAGAACTCGGCCAGGATGCTGAGCTGATTGGCGAGCCGATAAGCTGTCACCTTCAGGGTCATAGACCAAAGGCCATTTGAGGCCAGTCTCAGCTGTGCTTTGCCCAGTCCTTTAACACCATTCCACCAACAAGGCACTGCCATGCTTGCTAAGCAAGCCTGAAGCCTCTGTGGTCTGTTGGAGGCAGTACTGCTGGGATAGCTGCCCACTGGCCTTTAGCAAAGCAGGGTATGACAAAAAGATCCATTCAGACTGGGTCTGCCTGTTGCTATCCTGGCTCTCTATCTCCGTGTGCCTATGCAGTACAACTTACCACAACTTACCTTCTGTGTAAGTTCAGTATCTTACGCTGTTTCGGATGAGAACTGAAATCCTGATGTAAAAGAGCCCAAAGGGAACTATCTTGCACGGAACTGAGGCTGGACTCTGCAGAGTTTCACCTTGGGGCTGAGCAGTTTGTGCCATCAGCCTGTGCAGATAGCAGTGTTGTAAAGACAAATCCAGTTTGGGATCTTTGGAACATGTAGGCTGGACACAAGTGAGAAGCGCAAGGGCTTTATAGAATGGCCTTGGCCAGACTGAAGTGCCAGAGGTGCCTTGGCAGTGTGACAAGGTTGCTGTGACGTGTGGGACTTCATGGCTTGGGGTGTGTTGAGGCCTGGGTTTCTGGTTTTAACTTGCTGTCCTTGTGTGCCTCCAAACAGCTGGAAGAAGAGGAACAGGAGGACAAATTTGAGCTGACTGTAGGAGTGAGTGACCCGGAGAAAGTTGGTGAGTTAACAACCTGTCCTGCATGACGAAGCACCGTTAGACAAGCTAGTCTTGGCAGCAGGACCGAATGCAGCTCTCGCCTGCACGTGCCACGGCTCCAGCTTTCGAGCTCTCTCTGCAAGCACCAGCTTGATCCCAGAGTAACTTCTCCAAGGCTTCTTCCAACCTCTAGAGGAAATAGAGCTAAACAAAGCAAAATGCCTAGCTTGCAAACGAGTGAGGGAGAAGCAGGCTCCGTAAAGCCACGGGCCTCAAAGGCAGGGAGCCAGGAACGGGTTTTTTGGGAGGGTGAAACGTGATGCTTCAGGTAGCAGAGCTTGGTGTCTGAAACTGGTGACCAACTTGATCTCCAGGCAGCCCTGTCCTGTGTGTTGCTAGCAGTGAGGGAGCAAAACTGCCTTAACCTAAAATTAAGTGTACTGTTCCATGCTCTCTGGAGCTGGGGGGTGTACCAACTTGTAAATCGGAGGTATATTCAGGGTAGCATCAGACCTCTGAGGATGCCCTTCAGTTGAACCACTAGGTAAACTCTTCCTATGCCAAACAAGGGGATTTCTGTGTTAGCTGGAGAAAACAAACTGCCTGTGATGTTTCAGAATCCGACCACAGGCAGCCAGAGGCCGTCTGACTTGCATCCTCTGAATAGACTGCTTCATGTGCTGTACAGCCGCCGAATTGTTGCGTGCTGAGCAGATGCGTGGAGTCAGCCCAAATGCCGCCGGTGTAACAAGCGCCTGATTGTCAGCGTTGGCTGCCTCGGGAAGTAAAAGGAGGGCTCATCAGTCGGTTTGGGGAAATGCCTAGTGGGCAGGGGTTCAGGGTCCCCGCGGTGAGATGCTGTCTGTGGTTCTGTGCAAAGATTTGGGGCTCTGTCAGATCAAAGATCGGAACTGCTGAAGCAGGCAAAGGCCAGAAGATTGCAGGAGCCTTTGCTTTGCGTTCAGGTGATAGTGGAAAGCGCTGCTCTGTGGATGCTAATGCCTTGTTTGTTTTCCGTAGGGGATGGCATGAACGCGTATGTAGCCTACAAAGTGTCAACACAGGTATGTCGAACTCGTTGCTCCCGAGATGAGGTGCTGCTGTTTTTCCATGCTTGGAGACAGCTGGACTGTCCTTTCTTAGCCAAGCCAGTAGTGACCTAAATAGGCAGGAGGTCTGAATGCCGTGTTTCAGGAGTTATAATCCACTCCTGCAGATCAAAGGGTGAGCCTAGCAGAAAAATAGATTTTGAACCTGGTTGAAAGGAGGCGTTGTCTTTTTTATTTTCCAGCCAGTTAGCTCTTTGCAGTCCTGCCTGATACCTGTGAGCAGCAGGAACAACGTCTGTAGGGAGAGCCCCAAACACTGGTGCTGTTACTAATGGTTCTGTGCCGATGGTCACATCAGACTAAGCTGACTTGAACTCTGCTCTCGCTGGAGAGCTGCTGCTGTTGCTAGTTTCATGTCAGGGACCTGCTCTTCTGTGCCAGTCGCAAGAAACTGAGCTTTCTGCAGCTGCTGCTCTGCTTGGAGCTTTGGGGTGCTGCTCTGAGCCCTGCAAAAAGTTGTTCCTAGCTGTCAGTACTGCAACTGCTGGATTACGGGCATCCTGTGGTCTGAAGCCTGATGGTGAAGGGGACGAGGGGAGGTGTTAGCCTCCACTCCTGCTCTGCAGACACAGTGAAAAGCCACTGATGGCCTCTCTAGTCTTAAGGTGATAAAGTCTGAGCTGACAGCAGTCCCTGTTCCTGGGGAGCAGGGATGATGGGATTAGGCAATGGGCAGGGCTTACCATACAGCCTGTGGCCGCGGTAACAGCTGCTGTTATTCAGTGGCATTAATACTGCTGCTTGGTCCAGCGAGAGCTGTTAGGAGGTAAGTTGCTGAAGACCTAGGCTGGAGCTTGCTCTGTTCACTCCTCGTATCTTGCAGAGCTCAAGCTGTCTTTCTTCATCCCCAGAAGTGACAGCAGATAGAGCTAGCAAGGCTGTGTGTGCAGGGGTGAGTCTGATCCGAGTCTCGTCTCTTCCTCCAGACGAGCATGCCTATGTTCAGGAACAAGCAGTTTTCAGTGAAAAGGAGGTTCAGTGACTTTCTGGGTCTCTATGAGAAGTTGTCGGAGAAGCATGCCCAAAATGGGTTCATCGTTCCTCCGCCGCCTGAGAAGAGTCTCATAGGTGAGTGGTGGAGGTGCAGAACGCTAGAGCTAGTCCTGATGGCCAGCTTTGTGCCTGAAGGACACGCCTGCCCGCAGTCTCAAAGTTAAGAGGGAAGCTGCAGAGCAGCTATGGGAAGTAGGTGTGGAAAATAATCTGGTTTCTGTGGCACAGACAAAACTCTGGTTCCATACTTGGAGCTTTGGGCTTAAAGCCTTCTTTGAGTTTGCAGATGCCTCCACATCTGCTTGATGTAGAGTAAAACCTCATCCTCTGTGCTGTCATTGAATTGCTGTTCACTTGAGTCCAGACTCGTAACCCTTCCCAGTCTTGCCTGGCATTGCTCTGCCTCTTTTCTGGATGTCAACTTCTGCTAGGTGTTAGGCGTAAGCAGATTTTAAGTTTTCAAGTAGCTCTTGCAGATGCAAGGTCTAATTTCTGTTGTGAAATGCCTCTCCTACTGTCACCCTGAGAGGCCATACCTTGTAACGCACCACGCTACCTTGTGTGCTGAATTTGAAGCTGCTCATTAAATGCATCTTCCTTCTGTGCTAGGAATGACCAAAGTGAAAGTTGGGAAAGAAGACTCCTCCTCTGCAGAGTTCCTAGAGAAAAGACGGGCTGCTCTAGAGAGGTACAGACCCCAGCAGCTATCCCCTCATGCCTGAACCAAGCATGCGACCTCTGGAAGGTCAGACTGGCTGCATTCGCCTCCCTGCATGAGAAAAGCCGTCCGCTTCTGGGTTTGGAGCGAACCTGGAGGCCACCAAAGAGTTGCAACTGCAGAGAGTTGCATTGACTCTGTAAAACTGTCTCCTGCTTCAAAAGTCCCTGCTGGTATTTGGGCCAAACCTGACCAAACTCCAATGCCAAGGCAGGGAGAAAACTGAGCTGTCTCAGGAGCCCAAAAGCATGGATGTTAAGTAATGGTACAAACAGTGCTGATCAGGTGACAAACAAATAGACCTTTAACTTGTACACAGCTGCAGGTGACCTTTGCACTGCCGCCTGGGTCGACTGGTGACGGGGATGCTCTTCCCCTCCAGCTTCAGCCTCTGAAAGAGCTGTGAAGTGGTGGTGAGATGTGAGGCTGGATCTTGATCACTTGGTGTATCAAGTAACTTTCTTGCTAGAGCAGGTGTTAATCAGAGGTCTGGCAGGTCTGGTCTCGAGTGACACGAGCCTGCTAGTCTTGCACGCCGGAGTCCGCAGGAGGGTAGGACTCCCGGTGGGTGAATGAGAACAGCTTGTGCCTGACTTCCAGCTCCTGGGCTGCTGTTTCAGAGTAAATAAGCACGTCACAGCTGACCTGTGCCCGCTGCGGCTCGCAGTGATGGCTCAGAGCCACGTTTTCTACAGCTGAAGTAACCTGGTGCGTTCCTCTCCGCAGGTACTTACGGAGAGTGGTCAGCCATCCAACAATGCTGCAGGACCCGGATGTCAGGGAGTTCTTGGAAAAGGAGGAGGTCAGTAGCGCAGAACAGCGTAGCTACAGGTACCTTGGAAGTACGGAGGGAAACAGTACGCGAGCAGTTAATGAGACATCACGCGTCAAAGCTCAGTGAGGAGCAGCAGAAGCCTGTAAGAGCTCTTAGCCAGGGATGACCAGAACAGGACTCTCTTCTGTGTGCCCATGCTTGTCTAAACGCCGTACACCCGTAACGAGCTCTGGCCTAGCTTGCAAATGTCCTGGTGGGGGCCCACATTGAGAGCACAGGTAGTCTTTGTTCTCTGAAATCCGTGACAGGAGTGCTTCCTGCTGTTTGAATGTGAGGGGCTCCTGTGCTGGCTTGTCCTGATGCTCAGATGTTAAGGGAGCACTGGCTCTGGACTGAACCACATGGCCCACGTGGACCCCGCTCCTCCAAGGAGAGCGTGACCGTGCCCAGCTGCACGCCTGACTTGGAGAAGTCAGAGTCTTAAAGAGGTTGAGCCATGGGGAAACCCCACCCTGAGTGACTCCAGCCCTCATGCTGTGCTGGAAGGCTCTGGGGTAGGAGCAGGCTTCATGGAAACACCTCACTCACAGCTGCAAAAGCTTTGCAAAGCAAGCTTTTCTGTTTCTTTATAGCTACCCAGAGCAGTAGGCACCCAGACCCTGAGTGGAGCAGGAATACTGAAGATGTTCAACAAAGCTACGGATGCTGTCAGTAAAATGACCATCAAGATGAATGAATCGGACATAGTAAGTATTTGGACACCTCTGGGCTGCCCTCGTCCCTGCTCCGGAGCTGTGTGCTCTCCCCGGCTCAAGGTTTGGGCGCGAGAGGCGAGGAAAGCCCCGTGGCGATGCGTCTGTGGGAATCAGCTCTGGGTTTACGCGTTTCAGTGGTTCGAGGAGAAGCTGCAGGAGGTGGAGTGTGAGGACCAGCGGCTACGAAAGTTGCACGCCGTTGTCGAAACGCTAGTGAACCACAGGAAAGGTAACGAGCTTGGTACCGCTTGCTCTGTAGCTTGCCCTCTAACACGTAAGCCGTGTGCGGTGCCTGACTGGAGGTCCCAGCGTGCAGGTCTCCTAGGAGAAGCTACAGCAGTGCTTCCTTGCTGTAAAGGATGCTCTCGGTCTCATCGTGGGCGACAGAAGTAAAACTGTCGTCCCACCTCTTCTGTCCAGCCCTACAAGCTTAGGACAGCGTGTTGAAGTGAACCCGTGTCCTGCTGGATGAAGGCAGCCGTAGCAAACCTGAGCAGAGCTGACCTCATGCCTAATTCCAGGCTGTCCTCTGGCAGGGAGCAGGGATGTTTTTCTTCCTCTGTGTGTTCTGGCTGACTTCTGCAAAGCTGTGCCTGTCCTCCCACTCTGCTGCTTCCCTTCTTATCCAGGCCAGAGTTGCCTAGCCCTCTACCCGCTGCGCTGCAGAAGCTGCCAGCTCTGACCAAGACAGCGCTGGCTCTTCCAGCTGGTGTCTCCTGGGGCTACAGGAAAAGCAGCTCTTTGGGCTGAACTCTAGGCCAGGGCTTTGCTTGCAGAGCGCCTGGTGTGGCGAGGCCCACCGGTTGACTCTCTTGTTCCATTCACCAGAGCTGGCGTTGAATACAGCCCAGTTTGCCAAGAGTCTGGCCATGCTGGGGAGCTCGGAGGACAACACGGCCCTGTCCCGGGCGCTGTCCCAGCTGGCTGAGGTGGAAGAGAAGATCGAACAGCTGCACCAGGAACAGGCTAACAGTGACTTCTTCCTCCTGGCTGAGCTCCTGGGAGACTACATCCGCCTCCTCTCTGTTGTAAGGGTAAGCATTCCTTTGGGGCAAGCTCCGAGCTCTGCTGCTGGTTCTAGCACCAGTCGTAGGTTTAGGTGTGCCCAGAGGCACATCTGTTCATCTGAATTCATGCACAAGGTGTGGCAGGCCTCTGATCCCTCCAGGCAGAGGGAAAACTTGCTGCTTGTCCAGTCGTGCACGTGTTGGAGTAGTTAGATCGGAAAAGCGGGGTGGATGAGGCCTGGCTGTACTGCTCTTCTCCAGGGGGGGATGTGGAGCAAGTTCATGGCTCGTAGGTGGCCTTGGCCCTTCGGGGGTGAAGGCTGTGGCTACTGTGGAGGCTGCGAGCTGGTAAACAGCAATCTGGGCATTGCAAATTGGTCTGCCAAGCGCCTGCTGCGGAAGAGCTTGAGTCTTCAAGTCCACACAGCCTGCCTGGTGCACTGGCCTCCTTGCTGGAGGCTGAAAGAAGCAAGACCCAAGTGAGCTGAGAGTCTGGCAGGCTCACGTGCTCCTGCCCCAAACTTGTTCTGTCTCTGAGCAGTTGTTTCTGAAGGCTGCAGAGGCCAGAACACAGCCTAGTGAGTAGGCGTGAGCCTTCTGGTTTGCCAGCCTGTACTGGGAGGTGCAGTGGGTGCTCCAGAGCAGGACAGAGATCTCTTTAAGTCTTATTACCTCCAGCACTATCTGGGATGTTCTGGTAAGGAGCCCTCGTGTTGCCTCAAGCCTGTCTCTTGGCTGCTCTGTCCTTCTGACCAGGCTATGGGACACTGCTTTATGCTTTCCTAGCCCTTCCCCACGATCTGGCTGGACGTATTCAGAAGCCTAATGGGGTCTTCCTTGCTTGGGCTGATGACTTGCAGGCCAGCTAAAAACCATCTGGCCTCCTGGCAGCCTGTGCGTGGCCCAGGAGCGTGCTGTGTGGTCACACCTCACTGCAGGAGCTCATGGTGGAGATCGGTGTGGGACAGGCAAGGGGAGCTGCTCTGGGCTGAAACGGGCAAGCAGCAGGGCTTGGGGACAGGCCAGACATCGTGCTTGGGGTGCTGCCAGTTCCGTAGGTGGCCTCAGGCCTGCCCAGGTTTGCGTGCGTAGCCGGGGCCCTTCCAGTGACTCTCCTGCCAAACCCTAGAGCGGGTGGGCAGCCCCGCAGGGAGGGAGGCCCCCGAGCTCCTCCTGAAGCACGAGGTGGTTGATGCTGCCCCTGGTCTCCCTCACGAGCGGAGCAGTCCGTGTTGTGACCCACCGTTGGTTGCACCGAGCCGGGTTTGGGCTGGGACTGACGAAGCAGCCCTGCATTAACTTTGACTGTGCAGAGGTGTCGTCGTGGCCGTCAGAGCTTCCCGCTCCTGGTGCAGAGGCAGAGCTCAGTCTGCTCCTTCCTTCCAGGGAGCCTTTGACCAGCGCATGAAGACCTGGCAGCGGTGGCAGGATGCCCAGACCATGCTGCAGAAGAAGAGGGAGATGGAGGCCCGGCTGCTCTGGGCCAACAAACCCGACAAGCTGCAGCAGGCCAAAGAGGAGATCTCGGAGGTAGGGGATGAGGAGTGCTGGGGTCTCGGCTCAGCTGCTTCCCTCTGCTCTCCCGCTCAGAAGAGAGACGGGCACCTTTTGAGCTGAAGGGACGAGGATCTGTGGCCAGGCCTGCATCAAGGGATAAGCCAGCCTTGAGCCACGCAGGAGGCCGTGGAAGCTGCGGATGGGGCTGCTCGTGGTCCCACCGCCCGTGGCTTCCCTGCTGAGTTGCGGCAAGCAGGGGACGCAGCCGGCTGTGGTGGCAGGGACCAGAAATGCCAGGCGTTGCTCCAGCAGCGCCTCTCGGGTGAACAGTTGTGGCTACAAAGCCACTTGGAGAGAGGAGCGAGAGCCGCTTCTCCCTTCCCCTGCAAACGGCGCGCTTCCTCTCTCTGCAGTGGGAGTCTCGTGTCACACAGTACGAACGGGACTTTGAACGGATTTCTGCCGTCATCCGCAAGGAAGTGATACGATTTGAGGTATGTTTGGCCCAGCCACCAGCCTGCAACCCTCCAGCTGGTTGGCCTTGATGTGCCTTGGGTGGGAACGCCAGCCGGGGCTAGCCAAGGGTCACCTTGGCTCCTGACCGTGCTCCCGGTGCAGCAGTTGGCAATATCTGTAAATCTGGACACGTGTGAGCTGGGATGTCGCTGTCACGGGCAGAGCTGATGTCTCTTGGCTAAGAGGGCGCTTCTGTGCAGAGAAACGTGTCTGTTAATGTGAAGGTGGGTGGGCAGATCCTCTGAGCCCTCAGGCTGTGGTGGGAGATGTGCTTCATCCTCAGCGTCTCAGGCTCTTGCGCCGGTCTCCTTGTGGGACCCCCGGACGCACAGGAAAATCCTGGTGGTTCATCCTTCACACCCCCTGCCCCCCAAAAGGCCAGGGGGTTTTGGTTCAGCCTTGTCCTCTCTCCTGCACCCATCTCTTGCAGAAAGAGAAATCCAAGGACTTCAGAAACCATGTCACTAAATACCTTGAGACGTTACTAACCTCGCAGCAGCAGGTGAGTAGCCCCAGCTCCTGCCGCGGCGTTCACCTCGCGAAGCTCGGCAGTGGGACCGTGATCCCCCACCCTGGGTGCATCCTGCTCCCCGGATGTGGGGAGGGAAGAGCCCCCACGGGCTGGAGCTGGGCAAAATACAAGCGCCGCATCCCTCTTGATGCCTGTTTTGGGGGACTGTACTCTGGGGAGGGGCTGCTGCCCCCTCAATGTCCTCTCCGCGCTCTGGGCTTGGACCGTGCCGGCAGCGCAGCCGTGGGCTCCTGACTCTCTCCCTCTCTCCTCCCTGCAGCTGGTGAAGTACTGGGAAGCGTTCCTACCCGAAGCCAAGGCCATTTCTTAATTGGACCGAGCAAACGAGCGTTACCTTTTGCCTTTTTTTTTTTTTTTTACATTTACACTATACCTCTTTCTCTTTGACACA